CTGAAATGTGGGAAAAACACGACAAAAGTTTCAAAATTGTATAAAACTCCTACGGCGGCTCAGTATTCGAGAGTGCATTCTTGAAATATGTCGCAACAATAAACATTCAGCGTGATCTGAACATTGTCTTTTCACCTAATTCACTACGAAATCATAAAAAAGAAGATTGTAGCGCTAAATATTGTTTATTAAAAGCAGTTATAACCCAAAGCAAGTGATTTTTGCTCTTTTATTTGCTCTTAATAAATCATCATAACCATCATCATCACCATCATCATCAGCCCGACTACGCCCTATGCAGGGCAAAGGCTTTTACCATGATCCGCCATTCGACCCAGTCTTGTGGTTTCCTATTCCACGTTATACCTGCAAACTTTTCGGTCTTGCCGGCCCACCCAACTTTCTGTCTCCCCTTCGTCCGTTTACCTTCTCTGGGAATTTCGTTAGTTAGCCTAAATGACCAGTGGTTATCCTGCCTAAGTGCTGCGTGCCCGGCCCACGTCTATTTCTTTTTTTTTTTATTATGAAGAAACAGGTGCAAAAATACACACACTCAGAGAGGACACAGACAAGCGCTTTGTCTCTGTCCTCTCTGAGTGTGTGTATTTTTGTGCTTGTTTCATCATGAACCTTTACCAACACGCCCAATTGGCAGTCATCTTAAATATTATATTGTCACGCACAGCTGAAAAATAGACTTAAGTAAAAATAGTTAAAACGGGCGAACTTGTGCCCCACAAAGAAACAAGTTAGAGAAAAAATGTTTATATCTAGAACACCTTGGCTTCTTCCAAGTTCTGCACCTCGTCTTTTTTTATCTCACGCAACTCGCACGTGCCTGAGTTGTCATGGTCGATCCTGGTAGTCCCCACTGGCGACTCGCGCGCTCTGTTTCACATGCACACCACAGGCAACATTGAGGGCGTAGTAAACGACTGGCGCGCGAACTTTAAATGTATCTTGCGTCAATATCCCCCTTTCGAAAATTCACCGTCCCTATGATTGTCTAGGTTCCAGGCTGGTATAGTATAGTAATTATACCAGTAGTAGCAGGCATCGCCTATCGGTGTTGCTTCATTGCTCATTGTCTTTCATGGTATGGCTTCATTCTGATGACGTGCACAGTTTCTGTGCGATGCCACCGACTGGGTGATGTTACTTGCTTCTCTGGAACAACTTCATAGTTCAAAGTACCAAGTGGCCGAAGCACCTTGTAGGGCCAAAGTAACGTTCATGCAGTTTTTAAGTGTGAATACACTTTATAAGCGACCCCAAACCATCCACCGCCGTCGGCGGCGTCCGCAGTCTTCTCTCTATCTTTAAAAGAAAGAAGACTTGGCGGGCTGTAGCGCGACGCTCTACCGAATAAGCCACGGACGCGACGCTGATATCGGTGTCAGTAACGCGCCTTATATCTTTAACGCCGCTGCGCGCGTCCCCCTCCCCCTTCGCTCGCTCCTCCGCTCTCCTCGCTCGCTGCAGCTGCGCGCACACCCCTCTCTCTCACGCGGCCGCATAGTGCGAATTAATAAATACCCCTCATAGCATCACCCCGTGCATTCGCACTTAAGCATGTTCACCCTCGGGGAAATGCTTGGGAGTTTTCGGAGAGACCATGCCTTTTTGGTGCTGCTGAATGCGATGCCGTGCAGCTGTCTTGCTTTTTTCTTCAGCTCTTAGCATGAAGTCACTGGTGCTATTGTCATGGTCGGAGTTAACAACAATTTATATTGCATCCAGGGGCATCTTGACTGTTCGGCATAAAACAAGCTGAAAATGTCTCATTCGTGTTGTCTCCTGCACAGCTGTATTGTATGCGAACATTGCCTAAGGCAGTATTCTGTCCCAAGTTTGATGTTCTACGTCGACGTACATCGACAACATGCCAGTTAACGTTCTGTTGAGCCGCTCTGTCAATCTATTCGCTTGGGGATGATACGCCGTGGTTTTTCTATGACATGTGTCGATCGCATGATTGAATTGATCACGTCAGCTATGAACGCTGTTCCCCGATCCATGAATAGCACAGTAGGAGCTCCTCGCCACAGTAGAATGTTGGTCACAAAGAATTCGGCTACTTCCACAGCCATTCCCCGAACAGGCGATGCTGTCTCCTCATATTTTGTTAAATAGTCCGTTGCAACAATGATCCATTGCTTCCCTGATAACGACGTGGGAAACGCACCAAGTAGGTCCATTCCCACTTGTGCGGAAGGGGCCTTTGGTGGCGCTCTAGGTTGGAGGAAACCAGCTGGCTTCACTGGTGGTGTTTTGCGCCTTTGGCAATCCCGGCAGGTTCTTACGTAATGCTGCACAGAATTCAACAACTTCTGCCAGCAGTATTTCGTGCGAATACATGTCAGTGTTCTGCTCACTGTCCTGGTGATGGATCATAATGGCATGCTTCCAAGATCTCGGGTCGTAGCGCTCTAGGAACAACAAGAAGGAATTTCATCGTACTGGGTGCGAAATTTTTTATACAGGACATAATTTTAGAGGATGAATGACGACAGTCTTCGGGAAAAACACGAGGAAGGTCAGTGGCTTGTCCCTATAACTACTTGATCAGCAGCGCCACCTCAGGGCCAGACTTCGGCTGCTGTGTCATTTCTGTTGCAGTCACAGCTCCCAAAAAAAGGAACATCCTGTTCACTTTCCGTAGAGGTTGCTTCCTTAGAATCGACCAGTGCACGTGACAAACGGTCAGCATCACTGTGCTTGGGACCAGACTTACAGGTGACCGTTAGGTCGTATTCCTGCAGTCATAGGCTCTATCTCGCAAGACATCTTGACGGCTTTTTAAGATTTGCTATCCAGCACAGTGAATGGTGATCGCTGATGGCTCGAAAAGATCTTCCGTATAAGTATGACCCAAACTTGCTTATAGCCCAAATAACGCAAGGCATTCTTTTTCTGTCGTTGAGTAATTGGCCTCAGCCTTCGAAACTGTACGACTAGCGTACGCAATGACCCACTTTAAGCCATCAGGTCACTGAACGAGGACGGACGCGAGACCCAAGTTGCTTGCTTAAGAGTGAATATCAGTCTCGGCTTTCTCGTCAAAATGTGCGAGGATTGGATGGCTCTGAAGGCGGTGTCGCAGATCATCGAAAGCATCCCCCTGTTCCTTCAGCCAAATTAAAAGCGCATCTTTCTTTGACAGTCACGTTAGAGGTTTGGCGATCTTTAAATTTTTTTTACAAAGCGCCGGTAATAAGCACAATGTCCCAGGAACCGTCCAACTGCCTTTTTAATCATTGGTTTCGGAAATATTTGTACTGCTGCGGTCTTCTCGGGGTCCGGGCGAATACCTTCAGCACTGACAACTTGCCCAAGAAAAGGGAGCTCTTGGAAGCCGAAGGGGCATTTCTGTGGATTTATCGTCCGATCTGCCAACTAAGAGCTTCAAGTACAGATCACAGCCGTTCGACATGCTCCTCAAAGGTAGCCGAAAAAACCACAACATCATCAGGATAACCTAGGCAAGACTCCCACTTCAGTTCGGAGAGCACACTGTCCGTCATGCTCTGAAATGTCACGGGAGCGGAAAAAAGGCCGAATGGAAGTACTTTAAATTTGTATAGCCTATCCGGTGTCACGAATGCAGTTTTCTCACGATCTCATTGGTCCACTTCTATCTGTCAGTACCCACTTTTAAGGTCTAGGTAAGATGAGAACTTCGCATCTCATAGTCTATCGAGAGTATTGTCAACCCCTGGTAGAGGATAAAAATCTCGCTTAGAGACGGAGTTCAACCTTTGGTAGTCTATAAAGAATCGTAAGGACTGAACATTCTTCTTTATGCGTACCACCGGTGACGCTCATGGACTCACCGACGACAGAATTACATCGTCTTTGAGGATTTCTTGGACCTGATTTTCGATCGCTTCTCTTTCCTTTAGTGACACTGTGTAGGGGTGCTGGCAGATGGGTATGACTGGCTCGTCGACAATGATGCGGTGTTTTGTAATGGGCGCTTTTCAAACTTTGGATGGCGTGGAAAAGCACGCGGCCAATTCTCTCTCGAGGTTTTCTATTTGTCTTTTCTGGCTGGGCACCATTTACTGGTCTATGTGAATGGATTACAGTACAAAATTCACGTCTTGCAAATCAGGTGGTGGCGTTTTAGAGGTGCTCAGGTTTGCAACTTACGCGAACTCATGGATACTTGCATTGACCATCCGCTTAGCAAGGTGATGTACTTCATTCCTAAAGTTTGTAAGGCGCCTTGCCATGCAGATTACCTTTTCCGAGTATGAGCATAGTGTTGCTGTCAGCGAACCTTTTATGGTCACTGAACGCATTGCTTCTTACCTTGACAGCTACGCTGGACCTCAGAGGTACCGCCACGTCGTCGTCCGGAAATCACAATTCATTCACTTTTTCTTGTGTTTCGAACGTTGCAATTGCGTGCTTTGTTGAAAATTAGACGCACGATTCTGGCAAGTTAATTACAGCGTCATTAGCCTTCAGGAAGTTCATATTGATAATAACGTCTCTAGAGCATTGTGACAGCACGATGAAACTGGCGACGTATGTTATAACATCGTATTCCGATTCTTGCCCTACACGTTCCAATCGGGTCGATGAGGTGTCCCCTTGCGGTGCGAACTTGAGGTCTATTCCATGGAGTCAGTACCATGTGGTGTGTTCTGGCTAGCTCACTACTTATTATTGGGTAATCCGTCCTCGTATCCACTCGTGAGTTCGCTTCATAGCTGTAAACAAATACACACAAGTCTGAATCGACGTCATGATTGCTGTATCGGCTTCATGATACGAGCAATGCTCCAACTCTATACTGTTCTGTTCCTCAGTTATATGCGACACAGCTTACCCGTGCTTTGCGGGATCCGAAGAACAAACTTGCGCGTCCTCCAGTCGACCCAAGCCCAAGCACTGAGAATACGTCTTGGTCTCCCGAGATGCGCGTCTACAGCAGCGAGAGTCATCATTGCGCGTGATTATTCAGTCAACGCATACATCCGCGTAGACGCTTT